TGTATTTGTGATTTACATGATCTAAAGTTGCACAACAAGTTAGTGAAAACATTGAAATGTTTGGAGCAAGAAAGCCGGTGCACACCACACACCAGACTCATTATTCCATCATCCCATGTGTGAAGGATGGTCAGGGGAACATAATAATTTGGGGATATCCATATACTGATGTTTAAAAGAGATTGGCTTATTGGAATGGCTGAGTCAGAGTCATGAACTTAACATAAATGTGATACTGAAGAATAAACTGCTGCTTGTGTTTAAATTAGGCCAGAAATACTGGTGAACTGAAAAGATTTTGAAGGACAAATGATCCTAATTTCCTTCTCATTGCTCAAACTGCCTGATGGATGTTTTTACTAGTTACTAAGTTTAACATTAATTTACTTTTACCAGCCTGCACTATGAAAGGTTACACAGTTTGCTTAATAAAGTACAACTATCTATGTCTAGTTTTGTCATATTGTGTTTTTCTGTGTCACATGAACACAGAAACTGGTTCAACACAGGGTTTGTCCCATCTATACAGTGGGAACAATGATTTTTATCCCTTAAGCCATAAAAGTTGAGGCATTGCTGCCACCCTGGCGGGACACGCAGGTGGCATGGACACCCAAGTTTGTGAGCGCCATAACTCGAGAACTAGGCAATGTAGGATTTTCAACTTGACGGCATAGATGCATTTACTTACTCAGTTCAAATCTCAGAAACCTCGACTTCAAGGTCAGAGGTAGGGATGGGCTTTTAAAACAGGGACAGCACAGAGTGGGAAAGGTTGAAAGGTTGGTGACTGGCATAATTGCATCTATGGTAAACCCTCCTCTTTCATTATTGGACCGAGAGCTTCGTATCCCTAAAAGATGTTCACTTTATTTATGCAGAATTCAAGCTTGAATTGTTCTTCAGATGGCCGCTTATTCAATCAAAAGCATGCTATTTGCTATTTTGTAAATGTAGCGTCCCAAATATAACGTTATGCGGTTATTTCCCCACAGGTCTTCCTAAGGCTGCAGTGATCACGCACCTCCAGAGCCTGAAGGCAGCAGCAGGTTTTTGGGCATTTGGGGCAACTGAAGATGATGTAATGTATGTCACCTTGCCACTCTATCACAGCGCAGCATCCCTGATTGGTGTCGGTGGAACTATAGAGCTAGGTAGGTCTATAAATATCTCTGCATTGCTAATCCCTTCATGATTAGGGTCTGACAGTATAGCTATACTTGCTGTAGTAAGTATAGCTGTGAGAAAAAAAGATATGGTAATCGATGGAAATTTTGCATGTGAACAAATTTTTTTGCACAGGTTAAGATGTTTGCATGCAAATATTAGTAAATGAGCCCTATTGACATTATTGTTTAAGGATGTAAGCAAGATTTATCTTGGACTGTTTTAGAATTCAAGATGATAAGATTACACAGAGACGTGTTCTTATGACACCCAGCAACTTGCTTTTGCTGCTTTTATGATTTAAGTTCCATGCTTCAGAGAGTTAATGCTATTGGCATTGAATATTGAATATTGGCTAACTGTTTTTCAGAGCTGCAGACATTGTCTACTCAGCACAATGTAAATACCAAACCTCTTTGAAGACCTCATGTTTCACTTTAACAAGCAGCTTTATTTTATGCTGCAAGATTCTTAGATGGGAATAATATTGTTGTTAAGTACACTGAAAACTGTTTCTGCAGTTTGAACATAAAAGTAATCTCGCATGTTTTTGAGTTCATCAGTCGGTCCATTCTCTTCTGCTTATGGTGTAATCTCGTGGAGTTTTTGTTTGTTGTTTCATAGTGTTGATGATTAACTGCTTTGCGGATCTGTTCCAACTATGCCAAAGTTAGTGATTTTGAATCCTTCACAGGCTGAGATCAACATCTTGACAAGTTCTGAAAACAATCCTTGGTAAAGCTAATGCCCTGATAGTTAATATGCACATATCCTGATCAAAATCAACTCCAAGGTTCCTCACAGCATTACTGGAGGTCAAGGTAATGCCATGCAGACTAAGCATTGGGTTAGATCCCATATGTCTAAGATTTTTAGGGCCAAGTACAAAGAAGGAAA